CGCACCGTGCCGCCTCTTTCGTTTGACATCGCCAATAGAATATCCTAAGGTTGAACAAACTAAAAGTGACAACACTGGAATGACATCACCAGCGTGTAGCCAGTGCTATGGTATTTAAGGTATGTATTCTACATTTTCATACAAATACTTAAAATAAGCATAGAAATATCCGATTATGTCTTGCATGTTTAGAAGACTTAAGTTTAATTTTCCGATATTGCAATTTAACGTTAACCTGTTGCAAATACTTTAATTTGGCCAACGAAAAAAAAGATGGCCACGTACCTTATATGGAATACTATACTGTCCCTATGATGGAATATTCCATATTAGGTACACTTAATTTTCGAATATTTGGTCGTGCCATCCAAGCTGTGCGAAGTCAGGAGATGGGATACAAAAAAAGCCGCAGATATATTCAAAGTTTCACGCACTACATTATTTCGTCTATCAGCTAAGACGAATGCTACACCAGTCCAGGTTGTTAAAACAAAATTTGGAAGATCTGCAGTCCTACCACAAAACTTAGAAAATCAGTTGGTAGACTATCTACTTTTAATGGAAAAAAGTTTTAGAGGTTAACAAGAAATGACGTTAAAAGTATGGCTTATCAGCTGGCTACTGTTAATAAAATACCCAATCCATTTTCAAAAGAAAAGGAAAGTGTCGGAAGAAAATGGTTGAATTTATTCCTGAAACGACACAAGGATAGAATTTCTGTCAGAAAGCCAACTGGAATGTCCATCCATAGAGCCAAAGCCTTTGATAAGGAAAACGTGACACATTTCTTTGATATTTTGGAGGCAGCATTTGAAAATCATAATTATTCAGCTGATAGATTCAACGTGGACGAGACTGGATTAAGTATTGTTCAGTCTAAAGTCCAATACGTTCTTGCGCTTAGAGGTTCGAAGTAGGTAGGATCATTAACTTCTGCAGAAAGAGGTTCTTTAATCACAGCATTCTTGTGTATGAGTGCCGGAGGAACTTTTGTTCCACCATATCTGATTTTTCCCATAAAAAACCACAATGTTTTATTGGAAAAGGGTGCTCCTCCTGGTTCAAAAATTGTGTGTCATCCAAGTGGATGGATTCAAACCCATATTTTTACACAGTGGTTCCTACATTTTATTGGAAAAGTGAAACCATCACAAAACGATCCCGTGTTGCTAGTGTTAGACGGACATCATACACATTGTCGAAATTTAGAAATGATAAATTTGACAAGGGAGAAAAACGTATTAGATAAAAACCCTTATATAAAACGTTAATGGGACTCTTAAAAACCCATCATAGTGAGATGTTGAGATTATTTTTAAGGTCAAATCAAAGACCAATTATGACATTGCTGAACTATTTGGAAAAAAAATATTACCATAGTTCTATTTATTAACATAGTAGGTAGATATTTTTATTGGTAAGATGTATACACTATGTATTTCACATGACGTCTTTCAATAACTAAATTATGACAAAGGTGTGATATAGTATTTTTTAACATAGTATATACATTAGCTTAGTAAGGAATAATTATATTATTATTATTATTATTATTATATTAATCATGTTTCACTAATTGACATATTTAAATTCTTGAAATAAAGTTATATTGATTGAGACTGGCTGAATGACAATTGTCCAAGCCAAGAAAAAAAACTATTTGGAAAGGGGTATCTTAAGACACAAATTGCCGTTAATTGCTTCAGAAACACTGGAATATGTCCATAAATCTGGACTGGAAATCGCCATTTCCATAAAATGAATTTGTTGGACCCGAAAATATTACACCGGTGCCAAACTTTCAAAAACAGACAGGACCTCGAAGGGGTAGGGCACCTGGAAAAGCAGCGATTATTACCTCGTCTCCATACAAATACGCTTTAGAAACTTCAATAAATTCTTCAAAACAAGACAAAACAGTAAAGCGGAAAGTACTAATGGAATCATTAGATAACCAACAACCATCCTGTAGTTACCAGCATCTACGTAAGACGAAGAAGAAGACAATATTTCAAGATTCCTCTTCAGAATCCGAATCAGTAAGTTTCAAAGACGATTCTTCTTCCGATGATAATGACATGATAGATATTGCAGCAGACAATCCTAAAGAAAATGTTGCTTGTTTCTATTGCGATGGAAAATTTTTGAAAGACAGAAAAGGAGAGAAGTGGATACAGTGCGTTGTCTGCAAGGAATGGTGCCATATAGATTGGTCCGGGTGTGAAACTGATATTTTATTTGTGAGATTTGCAAAGTAACGTTTCCATAACGTTGTAAGTGCCGGTTTTTTTAAGTTAAATGAGTTGCAAGTGCCATGTTCCATCGCCTAAAATTTATTTCATGTCGCTATGGCTAGCGACGGCGTGAAAAGTGGGGATAAAGTAGCGGTGCAAGTCATAACGTTGTAAGTATCGTAGTGCAATTATTCTGTTAAATGTAGAGTGGCGCATCAGTTACTAAATTATTTTTGTTTGGACGTGTTGGGTTGGGTTTAAACATAAGTATTTGGAACGAATATGGATGAAACTACAGAAAAAACGGTCCAAAAAGAAAAGAAGAGTTGTTGATAGTTGGAAAAAAAATAAAACCAAGAAAATGAGAAACTCTGGCGAAGAATATGTTTCTCTAGTCAATAAAAAGACCGTTACAAAGAAAATGCCACCAGCTGATGTAAGTATGGTTTAAAGAGATACCTATCTAAATAGACGTTAAAACATAAATAATTTTTTTTTGTTTAAATCTATCTAAATAATCCAAAATTGTTTTAGGTAAAATGCAAGTGTCCACTAGCATGTAGATCCATAAGACTGGAATACCTTGTTGAGTTGTACAATCATTTCTATGAAATGGCTGATTATAGTAAGCAGCAAAGTTACCTACAAAGGTTTATTCATCCCCAATTAATCAAAAGGAGACGTCATGGTCAGTACGAACATCCCAGTGAAAGTAGGAGAAAGCACTCTTTCACTTACCATTTACTTTTGCCTGGAGGATCTGAAATAAGGGTTTGCCTCAAAACATTTTGTAGTACGTTTGCCGTAACTCCAAGAAGGGTGCAACTTTTGGGAGAAAAAATTCTTGATGGTAAAATGGATATGTCAGAAAAACGAGGAGGGGTTCGACAAAATATTTTCAAGACTGTCTGGACTAACAAGATTATAGAGCATATCGAAAGTTTTCCAAAAATTGAGAGCCACTACGCAAGGGCGAAAACCCCGGATAAGCTCTTCTTGTCACCGGATTTAAACGTAAGTAGAATGTACCGTGCATTTTTAGAGAAATATTGTGCGGATTATCAGCCGCCTAACAAACCACCAGTGACTAGACAATGGTATAATGAAATTTTTATATCAAAATTTAACTTATCTTTTGCAAGGCCTAAAGTAGATACATGCTCCACATGTGATAGTTTGGCTGTTCAAATAAAATCAGAAGATAAAGCTGCTGTAACAGAACAGGAGCTTCACCATCGGAGAGCAGAGGCTGCTACAAAAGCAATGTCAACTGAGACCAAAAATGCATGTACAAGTAATTGCTATGTTCTTTCCTTCGATATGCAGCAGCAAATGTACATTCCCAAATTAACTCACTCCGAAATGTACTATTCACAACAGCTTGCAGTGTGTAACTTAGGAATTCACGATTCCATCACAGGAAAGGGATTCATGTGTTTATGGATTGAGGACTTTGGGGGAAGGGGTGCCTTGGAAATTAGCTCGTTTATATACTTACCTTACTAAGGAAATTGGCAATCACGGAAAGAAAAAGCTTATTTTGTGGTCGGATAATTTGTGGGGGTCAAAATAAAAATCAGTTCATGATCGCCATGTATTTGACCATACTAGCAAATAACGTTTTTGAGGAAATTATTCATAAATTTCCTGTAAAAGGACACACTTTCCTTAATTGCGACAGAGATTTCGCAATTATAGAAAAACGTAAAAAAGTGTGTAAGGCTTATACATTGATAAATGTTGTTAACATCATTACTAGTGCGGCCCAGAAAAATCCATTCTCGTGCATGGTGGTTAAGGACTTTTATGATTTCAAAACCGTTGCCTGTGATAAACTGAACACAAAGAAGTTAGGAATTTCAACAGCTACGCAGCTTCGTCTTACAAGAGAGAAATTTGGTACGGTGATGGTGGCTAAAGGACACAGTGAGCTCGCTGGATGGAGTGAGACCAATGTACTCAAATCTGGAGTTACATTAGAAGACTTTAAAATCATAGACCTTAAAAAAACTAGAACTCACTTTGGTATCCCAGAGAAAAAAAGAACAGATATTGAAAAAATGCTCCCTTATCTTCACGATGATGCCAAGAAGTATTTTAAAGAAAAATTAGGTCAACCAGGGCAAGTTTCTACTGTAGGAAACAATGGTTAAAAATCTGGCACTTAAAACGTTTTGACATGCAAACCTGATGGCACTTACAACGTTTTGACCTTAGACAGATTTTTGAATTTTTTTTTTAAGTAAGCTTTGTTTATTGTTCCTTTGCGGTATGTTTGTATTATATAATACCTTTAAACTAATCCTATTTCAGTATGTTACATTATAAGAAATAAACATGTTCGATAAAAAACTGTTTTTTACTCCTCCTGAAAAATTTATAATTTGGCACTTACTACGTTATGGAAATGTACGCTTCAAATAGATAGTGTTTTATTTTAAATCAAATTTTTTTAAGGAATATTACTGTGTTCCATATTAGGATCACAGCATATTCCATATTAAGTGCATATTCCATATAAGGTGCAAAATTTACCTTTTTCATTTGTCACTTTTTGACTATCCTGGTATGCAGATTTTCCTATTTTTAATATTAAAATCTGATAAATAAAATACTAATGTGTATTTATGAATAGAGTCACACATTATTTTAAGAAACAAAAAAATTACAAACCAAATACAAAACGATATTCCATATATGGCACACTTCGTCTACTTACAATGACGACACTTTCAATTGATACCTAAGTGAGGAATACACGCACCTTTACACTTTTTTCTCGTTCCTGTGACTAATTGTATGCAGCTTAACTTGATACTGGTTTCGTAAAGGTTCTTTGCAAATATTGCACTGGAACAACCGTTCCCTTAAATGTCCTCTTAGATGATGTACGTACGTAATAATAGTTCTACAGAATCGTTTACAAACATTACACCTACGTTTACAAATGTCGAACCGATACCTTGTGACGCAATCGTGTTGTTTATATATGGACTCGAAATGAAACGTCTTTTTACAAATTTTACATTTTTTCTTTCTTCTTTGGTGATGAGCTATCTTGTGTACTCTCAAGGATTCCTTGGTTTTGTAGGTTTTCTCGCATAGATCGCACGCGAATTGTCGAACTTTTGAGTGGGTAAAGGAGTGTTTTCGAAGAATTGACTGTTTTTTGAATCGTTTATCACACAGGAGACATTCAAACGGTCGTTTCTCCGAGTGTATTGGCATATGCTTCCTAACGCTCTCTTTTGTCCTGAAGGGCTTATTGCAAATTTCACAAGCGAAGTTTTTAATGTTCGCATGGACGTTTAGGTGGTTTTGGAGGTCTCTTTTTGAACAGAAGAACTTCGAACAGAGATCGCATTTATACTTTTTGTAGTCCTGTTCGTGGCGCTTCATGTGGGCTTTTAGATATCGGGGAAACTCGAAAATCTTTCCACATTCCTGACACGAGTAACCTTCCTTTATTGCTTCCTCCAAATGACTCTTTTGGTGATTCTCCATGGATTTCTCGTCGTAAAAGATCAAACTACAAATTTCACAAGACCTAAAAGAGAATAGATAGAACGTTTATTGGTCAGTCTTACAAAACATATAATATAATAAAAATATAACATATACAATAAAAAATATTGGTGAAAAAGTAATATAAAAATAGGCTTCTCAAAAGTCTATACTGATATTTGGAAATATTTGAAAATGTACATATTTAGCATTTACTTAAATATTTTACTTTTAATTGTATATCTTCATTATCTTTTTAAATGCTCCCATTTAAATTAGTTGATTCATATTGTGTTGTCAAATTTCATTAATACTTAATACTCAAATCTCAATAATACTCCGAACTACAAACCAGTTCCTACTAATCCAACAACCTATCTAGAGAAAACTATGAAAGCATCATCAATAAAACCTCTCTTCCAATTAACATAAAACAAATTCTACTGCCTCGTGAAAAGTCGTCTAGAACACCTTGAATATATGGCCTATCCAAAATTCACAAACCCGATATTCCTCTACGTCCCATTGTCATTGCATACAACTGCCCTACATAGCCATTGGCTAAAATTGCACAACCTTTCGCCGAAAAAGCTTAATACTTCGTCATTTTTTTTTTCATTTTATCTAACTTCTTAAACAATACCCTATCTCACCGTCAAACATTCTAGTAAATTTCGATATCGTTTCACTCTTTACAAACATTCTGATAGACGAAACTCTAAACATTCTGGAAACTAAATACAGCATCCAACAAAACCACTTATCTCTCATTAAATGTATGTCCAAGACTTATTTCATTTTCCAAAATCAATTCTACAAACAAATAAATGGTGCATCAATGGGCTCATTGATTGGGCACTTCCCAATCAACGCTTAAACCCACATGTTGGCTATGATATGTTGACAATACATTCGTCATTTGACCCCGCGGTAGAGATGCTTCGTATCCAGTTCACAACGGAGGTGAAAACTGATTTATTCCTACCGTTTCTCGACGTTACTGTAAAGAAAAACCAATCCCAAGGTTTTTATCACTCTGTTTACCGAAAACCCATCCGTACCACAAATAAATTCAGTCATTAATACCCTTTGCGATGATGCAAGCAGACCCGCTGAGCTCTCTACTTTACATCATGTTCTCATCCAAAAATGTTACCGGGAAAATTACATCAATAGAAGCATCCACTGATGTCTGTCACTCAATCTCAACCCAGAGACTCAGACCCTCATCATCGATCATATAAAAGCTTTTCTTCCTTAAATCAAAGGTGTCACTGACCAAATCGACAAAATTCTTAAAGTAAGAGGAATAAAGACCTCCCAAAAAAACTTTCATCCCGTGTCCGATCAATCATAGACAACATTCCAAATAAATAACACGGAGTTTATAAAATTCCTTGTCAGACTGTCCCCGATCTTATATAGGCCAAACAAATCGTAGAATCCAAAATAGGATTTATGAACATTCCATTTCTGTTCGGAATTTCGATTCAATTTTAGCTCTAGGTCAACACCATCTTCATACCGGTCACAAAATTGATTTTAAAAACTCCAGAACCATAGCCCCTATCCACTTCTATAAACTAAGAATCATCCGAGAAGCCATAGAAATTGAAAAAAGGGCAAATTGTCTCAATAAAAGAGACGACATATGGTTACCTTCGACATAGAGATCTCTCATAAAGAAAATATCGTCTGCTCCACCCACCAATCAGACATATAAAAGAAGCTAAGAACGACCGCCGACGATGGGAAAAGAGTAGAGGAAAACTGGCTACAAACGGCACAGTGATGAGAAAATTGGAAGAGACTGACACTGAGGTATATGTCCAGCAGTGGACGCCACTGGCTGGATGATGATGATAATGGCTTATAAATACTTGCTGTAAAGTCTCAAAAATCCTGAAAAAAATCTAAAATGAGACGTTTGCTAAAACCAGACAAGGATCCAGAGAATCCTTGAAGCTACAGAGCAGTCTCCTTGCTTTATCACTTTTTCAAACTATATAAGAAACTATAGATTAGCAAAAAATGTTGATAAACCCTTTAACTAATAACAGGGAGCTACAGAAGAAACATATAAAGAACATTTAAAGTTGTGAGGTTCATTCTTTGCTATAGAACAGAATTTTTTTATCATTTTGGAGAGGCAAAATGAGAAAACGATTGAGCACCAATTATTTTGGACATATACACAAAGGACCAGAAAACACTGGCCATAGCAAGCACTTTCTTTAAGCTGTAGATCTTGCAATATCTTCTTCCTTTTTTAAACATACATACTGTTTTACATCTGTTTTATATCTTTTTCTTGGTCTGCCAATACTTCTTCGTCCATTTGGTCACTTATCTCGTGCTATTCGTACTATCCTATCCTCTTAATGTGTTCGTTCCACTCCTGTTTCCGTTTTGTCACCCATCCATTTATGTCTTCTATATTGCATCCTTTTCTTATGCTTTCGCTTCTTTCCTTATCCAACAGACTTTTCCCTGATATTCTTCGGAGTATTTTCATCTCAGTTGTTTCTAGTAGTCGTCTGGTTTTAGATGTGTCAGGTATTGTCTCCCTCGTGTATGTTAATACAGGTCTAATTGCTGCTTTATAGATTCTTGTTTTTGTGTCTTGTCTTACGTGTTTGTTTTTCCAGATTGTGTCATTAAGAGATCCCGCCGCTTTACTTACTTTTAAGCTTTGTCGTCGTACTTCTTCAACATCTCCGTAACTAGTTATATCTTAACCGTGCTACCTGCTTTATTATTTTCCAATCAATTTCGATTTTACATCGTAGTGGGTATTTAGATGTCATGCATTTGGTTTCTTCTGCTGATATTATCATATTATATTTCTTGGTTGTTCTATTGAAGATATGTGTTAATCTTTGGAGCATATCTTGCAATATGTGTTTGAGAAATAGGATTTGAAGAAGTAGAAGAGAATCTTGAAAGTTCCTTCAAACACAATGACCGCGTACTACTTACAGATCTCCCTGAGACCTCACCCTTCCACAACTCTTCTCTAACGTGTATCTACGAAGATTCGGTGCTCGCGAAAGAAAACGCAACTGACGGGGCCTGGTGTTGACTCGAAAAGTTAGTCTGCTTGTTGACATTGTTGTAATTCCTCCTAGGAAATTACACACTTTCAAAATTGCATTTCCAGTAAAATATGTTATTTTAAAACATATCTAAGCCTTGGCCTAGTATTATCTAAGTACTTTAAACCATAGGAAACTTACGAGAAACCTTGGAATTTACATTATAAACTAACGAATAGTAAATAGATACAATGTCTTAAATTAAACGTACAATTACGCTTATCAAAAACATAGATTCCCATTAAAAAAACAAAGCTTTTGATTATATCATATTTATAAAGTTATGTAAATATTTTAACGATCTCATTTAGTGAGATTAGATTAAGATATTCGTGTTTAGTGATTGTTGCCACCAAAATTATTATTTATTTTATAGCGATTGTATCCTCTGTGTATGAAACGTGTGTTTGAAATATATTTTTTTATTCTTTGCTTCTTTCTAACTTACATAATCCTGCAAATAGGCCTTCTATATCTTTACCAACTAAATATGTATCATTCCTTTGTTGGCACACTCACAACACAAGTAAATATTGGGGTACAACTCGAGAATACTATGATAATGATGAAAGAAACGCACTGTACAATGCCATGATAGAATTCAGCATACCAGTATACTTAGTAAAATTTGTGAAAGCGACCCACTCAAGAGTCGAGTGTAAAGTTAGAGTGCAGAACGGAGTTTCCAGAACGTTCCAGTCTCAGATAGGACTTGGACAAGGAGACAGCCTATCATGTCTTCTATTCAATGTTGCACTAGAGAAAGCGATAAGAGAATCTGGAATAATAACCAGAGGAACTATTATTAATTACAGCGTACAATTACTAGCGTACGCCGATGACATCGACATTATTGCAAGAAGAAAGGCGGAGGTGGTCGAATCATTCAAGGCGCTTAAAGCAGCAACAATAAGAATGGGACTAGAGGTTAACACTAGTAAGACGAAATATCATCATCTTTGGTTCGACAATCCTCTGTGGATCTTGGCCTGCTCTAAGATTCGTCGCCATTCTGTTCGGTTTTTGGCAACATGTTGCCATCTTCTGATTTTTAATATCCGTAAGTCGGTTTCTACTCCATCTAACCACCTAATTCGCGGTCGGCCTTTGCTTCTTTTTTCTACAGGTGTTCCTGTGGTTAACTTTTTAGCAATGGTATTTTCTGGCATTCGTATTATGTGTCCAGCCCATCTAAGTCGCTGTGTTTTAATGAACGTTATGACATCTGCATCATCAAAGAGCTGATACAATTCAAAATTATATCTTCTGCGCCAACCAACATGTACTTGGTTTTGTCTTCGTTGATGACTAGACCGACCTGTTTCGCCTCTGTTTCCAATTCTAGGAGATATTGCTCAATATCTCGCTTGCTACGCCCTACTATGTCAATGTCATCAGCATATGCTAAGACTTGTATCGATCTATTGTAAATAGTACCGCCATCCCTAATTCGTGTATCTCGGACTGCCTTTTCTAAGGCAATATTAAATAGGAGGCAAGCCAGAGCATCTCCTTGTCTGAGTCCATCCTTTATCTCAAAGGATCTAGAACTCTCTCTCTGTATTCTAACAGTCGCTTCTAAGTTAGACATTGTCATTCTCGTTAGTCGGATAAGTTTCTCTGGTATACCAAACTCATGCATTGATTGGTATAGCACTGTTTTCTTGACACTGTCGTATGCGGCCTTGAAGTCGACGAATAGGTGATGGGTTTCAATATTGAATTCTAATGTTTTCTCGAGAATCTGTCTTATTGAATGAATCTGGTCAATTGTTGATTTTTCTGGAGTGAATCCAACTTGATATTTACCAATTATGCCCACTGTGTAAACTTGCAACCTTTCGTAGAGAATATTTGCTAGTATTTTGTAAGCAGTTGTTAACAGGGTTATACCTCTATAGTTGTCACACTGGAGCTGGTCACCTTTTTTATGTAACGGGCATATCAC